AAACACGAACGTTGGTCCGGACCTCTGTCCAGACTTTTAGGTGTGAAAACGCCCCTTAAAGAGCTCTAATATTCGTCTGGTGTATAAATATTGGTTGGTTGTGTTTTAGGTAAACTCAGTGTTCTCAGACATTGATCACATCATGCATTCGTGGCACACACAGACATTTGAAGGGACTGCAAACTTTCATTTTGTTGTACAACCTTGTGTTGTATAATGATAAATACATTTTATAGATCCTTGATTTTCAGTCAATAGATACAGTCTGCCCAGTTGCCATGGGAATGCAGATGTTCAAATTTCCATTTTCACTGAGCAGTGAAGTCTGAACATCTACATTTCCGTAACAACTGGGTCATTCCATTTGTTGATGAAGTTCATGTAATATAAGGGGAATGTGAAGCATTTCCTGTACTGGATGTATTATGTCATGATGTGTATACACTGTCCAGGGACACCACATAAAAGCGCTACTGTCTCCATGATGATGTAAGCTGGATGATGGTGTAAAATTAACACAGTTAAAGCAGGTGCAATGACCAAATTCGTTCATCCTTTTTTTTACTATTGTAGATGTATATATCTGTGTTTTCTGAGCATGGTGCAGTGATAGCAGCAGTTTTACACGAAACATCCATGGCTTTCTACTAGGGTGGGGCTGTAACACAGGACGATATCAGACTGGACTGGGCCATTCACTCATGGTGTGTGTGTTAGTGCTTCAATGTGAGTGATGGCTGTAGTTCCAGGTAAGGTTTCAGCTCGGGGCTAGATAGCTGAAATCACTTCATGATAAAGTAATGGGTATAATGATGAATATGAATATATTAATATGAAAATGGTATAATGATATTTTAGCTTCGAATGAGCAGAATGAGCCATGGAGTCCGCCATGTTGAACCACCATGTTTCCACAGTAGTCCAGAAGGGAAAAACCAAACACTGGCTCTAGATACAGCATTCATGTTTTTTGCATATTTGTTGACATCACTACAACAAAGTCAGGGCAAGAAACATGGGCATTCAGACAATCAGACAAATCCAAAGGTTGTAAACTGATAGAAATGACATTTTTCAATGACATTTTGAAGATGTTTAAAAGCTAAAAGCCACATATGTAGTCACATGAACAAATTGAACAAATTTCTCCCCAGGGATCAGTAGTGTATTATTTCTGATTCTGATTCTGACATCTTAAGTTAGCTATTGTCTAATGAACAACATTTTGATAAAATTAGCTAGATAAGACAACCAAAATGTGGTTGTCTTTTTAACATAGATTAGCCTAGCACATAGCATATCTAAGTACAGGAGTAGAACGTTGAACGAGGTTTTGACTGAGGCTTGCTCAACTGTTATTGGAGCACAGAGCAAAAAAAGGGCATGATTTAGTAAAGGTCAGTAGTTATAAGTATAACTTGTACTATCCTATCTTTCTAAATGTGGACACAGTGTCCCAGCATGCAGCAGTACCTGTGAGGGGTGGAGGTAAGGTTCAGGGGAGGCCAGGTTGGTCTGGACAGAGAGGCTTTTCTCTAGCAGGGCTTGGGGGAAGCCCAGTCGATCGAAGGTGCTGCGTTTCCAGTGGTGGCCATCGCTCTGCGCTAGTGCCTCATCCTCACTGAACGCCCTCACCACGGGTCCTGGTAACGGAAGAGGCAGCGCCCCGTCGCTCTCATAGCCATCTTTGGAGCTGCCGCCCTGACCTGCCCCGCCCCCCTGCCCCGAATCCCAACTGCTCCTCTGTTTCATCACCTGCTGGGCCTCCCACGCCAGCCTGGCTTGGGCCAGCATTGCCTCAGATGCTGTGCCTGCCAGCTCCCCTTCCAACCCTCCACAGCGTGCCAGTTCCTGGGGTAGAGATGGCTTGCGGCTCTTGCGTTTGCGGTTACCTCCAGGAGAGAAAGCCCCAGGACCGCCTGTAGAGGAGGAGGAAAGGGAATGGGTCTGGCTGGACGTCCAGGATATGGAGTCTTCGTAAAGCAACCTCTGGCCTCCCTCTCCACCCTCCCCACTGTAGTCCAGCAGTAGGCGGGGGTCCCTAATTAGAGATTGGCTGTGCTGCAGAGTATAGGACCCCCCATATGAGCCACCATAGCCCCCTGTAGTGCCATAACGCAGCAGGCGATCAGCAGTCTTGAAGCGAGGGCTGGAAGACGACTGCTCCACGTACACAAGCTGTTTGACGTACTCCTTCCCCACAGGACTGTACTCCAGACTCTGGGTCTTTTCTGGACACTTCTGCCGGGTCAGAACCAGCTGGCCATAGGGTGACTGGCCCTGCTTGGGAGAGTGATAAAGGGGTGCTGAAGACTTACGAGCGGGTGACTTGCCGGTGCCGTAGAAGGAGGAGTCAGAGAGGTGCATGTCAGTGGGAGGCTCCTCGTAGATGGGAGGGGGCTGGTACTCGGATGGCGGCTCCTCGTACAGCGGGGGTTCATAGGCGTAGCGGGGCGAGGGGGGCTGGGAGTCGGCTGAGGAGCGGCGGTGGGTGCCGGTACCACCTAGCTCAGCCCGCTTCAGGAAAGGAGACTGGCGGCGGTCGGCGTAGAGAACGGGGGAGCCGTCGGGTTCCGAAGGTGGGTTTCCTCCAGAGGAACGGCGGGCTCGTGAGGTGGTGCCCCCTCCAGAGGGAGGACCAGGGGTGGGAGGGTCACAGGGGGAGTAACCATTTCCCTGGTGGGCCAAGAAGCTGGGCTCTCTGTCTGTCACCTTGATCAACATTCGCTCCTTTGTACCAGTGTTCCACCTGAAGGGAGAAGTCCTGAGAAGAGAGGAGAGGAGAGACAGGAGGGAAGAGAGAAGATTTAATTAAGGGTCAAGGGGCAACATGATAAAGAGCTGACTGTCTCATTCTCTCATTCTACAGTGCCTGGTAATACTTTAAAGAAGCTATTTTTTATTAAAGCTCAGTGTGCTCTTCATTTTTCCTACATGTTCGTTACCACCTCATATCCTTCGTGCCAGCTGTAATAATCATCTACATGGAATCTTTGCCTGAATATCATGCTGCTCTATTCATCTTATGTTCAGTGTATAGTAATGTGGCATTTTCACGCCATTAATGCAAATGCAAAGGTCTGCAATGGTGAGCTGATGAAATACAACCCGGAAGACCCATTTGAGTAACAGATCTGTGAATTTATAGGCTTATCAGATGACAAAACCTTTCCGAAAACCACATTTCGACAATCACGTATACTTTACACAATGATTGGTTGGTGTGAGGAGGTGTGAAAGTAGGCTTTCAAGTTTAGTTAAGTTAACGTATCTTTTATTGATCCATGGAGGGAAATTCATTCTCGTCAATAAGTTACTAGGAGCACTGGGCAGCCACTGTGCAGCGCGAACTCCAGATCAGTATGACTTTACTGTAATTTGAAACTGGAAATGCAAACAGGACTTTATCTAAATTCTGGAAATTGTCTTTATCAGTTTGTACTTTTTTTATGGTTTTTCTTATGTTATAATCTGCTTTTAATCCATCCATTTGAAGCAAAGGTATTGCAGGAGATTTAGCGACAACAATCTGCCACAGCTAATATCCACCAAACAGCAGCCTTTGGCAACAACAGACCTTTACTTCAGCGGTTCACATTCACTCAGTCATTCCTCTCAGTGAGTGGGCCCTCGCATTCTGCTTGTTTGTCAGACAACAAGGAGGGGGAGGGAGAGTGCTGTGGGATAAAGAACAACAGGCGAACTGGGCGAGAGAAAGTGAAGTAAATGGTAAAGGGACCTGTACTTGTATAGCGCCTTTCTAGTCTTTCAAGTCCATCGAACAGAAACTAATGCATTCATACACATTTGAGGTTCAATATTTGCTCAAGGATACTTCGACATGTGGCGGGAGGAGCTGGGGATCGAACCGACAACCTTCTGATTAGGGGACAACCTGCTCTGCCTCTGCACACTTCACACACTGATCCACCAATGCTCAATAGCAGCAGTGTGAGTGTTTGTGTGCTAATATGCATCTGTGTGAGAGAGAGGGAAACAAAGTCAGATATGTGTCATATCTGTGTCATATCTGTGTCAGATAACAAGGTTGGGTGGGCAGGACTTTTACAGGTATTTGCAGCTTCGTGATTATTTTTATAAAAATGTAAATGGTTCATTTTTGGGAAAGCAACCAACTGTTATTCATAAATTTTTTGATGCTTATAACTCAGGCAGCAATATACGTCTTGTAAGCAAGCTACACCATAGCATCACTACACTCAATAAGACTATACAGACTATGTGGAACAGCGATGGGAACATTTGTTGCATATTGAAATAACATGTAGCTGAATGCCACCGTCCACCAACTCCCAGACCTGGAGAGACTTCTGTTGGAAAAACTTGATTCACTTTTTATTACTCCAAAACAGAAGGCTAAACAAATGGGCACTCAGCACTGCTGCTGGATGGAAAGTGGAAAAATTATGAATGATCACGATCATGTCTTCTGGTCCGGTCCCCCCTAACAATCATTTAAAAAACTCTGGGTTTTAGTATCAGTACAACATTCACATCCCTCTACCTTGGACACATCCCTGATGGGCTGGGTAAAGATGATACCTACCTCCTAAAGATGTTGGCTGGCAGCAAGTAAAGAGGCAATTAGAAAATGTTGGCTTCAGAAAAACTGCCCCACTGACCTGCCATAAGACTTAAAAAAGAATTAGGAGAAAAACTGTGGGAAAATGGCGTGTTTATTCAGCCAATGAGACTGATTTCTCCCCCCTGCCCACATAGTTTCAAACCAAAATCCCAACTCAAAAATGCAGTTCAGAATGCACTCCAAATCAGAAGCTGTCCACTTCTTGATGTTATATTTCATATCTTTTAGCACAACCAGTAAGCAATGTAGTCTTCAAACTCTAAAAGTGATGATGAGATTCTACATTTCTTAACAAAAGAAAAAGAAAGATCTGGGTCGGCCCAGTCTTGGTGAGGTGACGGGAGGAAGGTGAGTGTGAATGACTGGCAGTGTGTTTGATGGTTTTAGAAGGTGAATGACAAGTCACCTGACAACCTTGGTTGATACTGCAACTTCAGCCTGTGGTGATGGCTCAGATAATTACCAAATAGGTAGGTTGACAAATGATGACAAACTGATGCTACTGCCTCGATCTTTCAGTGTCATTAAATGAATACAATCAAGCGCTCCAACAGCAGAATTTTGGAAGAAGCAGAATTCTACGTTATTCGTTTGGAGGGCACAAAACAGTCCCCAATGAATATTCTTCATTCTGTTACAGTACAGTATTATAGTTTGAGCTAATCAAGGACTCTTTTGTAACTTTCAGATTGCTCCTCGTACGGGTGATAATTGAAGAACAAGTGTTCAAACAGAATTTAAATGATAATAGAAAGATTTCTTTTTCAGGCCACCTTTGCCTCATGGAATCATGGACGACACATCAAATTACATTCAAGATTCAAAACACATGCAGAGAAGTGAAAAGATAAATATAGTCTGCGTCGCATTTACAAAATGTTTACGTTAATGTGTTTATTCATTGTGTTTTATAAGTTGAATGGATCCTGATATTGTCCAGATAAACAACCCTAAGGCTGTATTCACACCAAATCAGACA